TGACTCCAGAGTCCAGGACTGAACAAGGGGTCAACAAATGATAGTGTACAGGCCAAATCTGGCCCTCCACTTGTTTTTGTAAATAAAGTTTTATTGGAACATAGCCATGCCTATCCACTTATGTACCATCATGGCTGTTTTCATGCTAGCCACAGACTTGTGTAGTCACAAAGCCTCCAAAAATATTTACAATCTGGCCCTTTACAGAGAAGTTCTCAACCACTGTGATACTCTCCTCTATGATGATTCTCTAATAAAAAAGGAAGGAACAAAACTGTGGCTATTGGTAGACACACAGGCCTTCCATTTTCAAGACTGTCACTGGTGGTGGATTGACCAGCATGCCCACACCCATTTCCTTCGTGTTTGTTCCTTCCTCTGTGGTGTGGAATCTTAGAACTTTATTCCTGGGAGATTCTTTGAGATCCTTATTCTAACTGTCTCCCATTACAGAGGAGACTCTCTGATACTCAGAGTGGCCCAATGTCAAAAAGCTGGGACACGCCACGTCCTTCGGTTCCTGCGAGGTCCCCACTGCCTTCGGAGTGTTTACTTACGTGTTGAAGGGGGTTGTGGAAGAGTTGTCTGAGCCCCATTATACCTACTGCTCCCATGGAGCTGCCTCTGGTAGGTATGACCCAACTCTCCTCCAAAGCAAGAGTGCTCCACTGGGTTGTGTACCTGAGGTCCTGCCTCTCTGAGCAATTTCTGGTACCACTCGCCAAGGAGTGGGAAATTTCCCCTTCTAAGCTTGCATTCTGCTTTTACATCTCTCGCATCCCCAAATAATTGTTACATCACAGCACACCGGCAGCTGTTAAACATGCCAAATCATGGTGCCACTGAAAAAGGGAATCCTGGGCCACAAACTAGCCCACTGTTAGGGAAGTTATAGATAGCTTCTTGGTTTCGTGTTACTCAGTTGGCTTGGCTGGCCTCAGTGTGACTCAGGCTGAGCCACTGTGGACCTACCTGGCTGGCTCCCTGTGTAAGCTGACTGACTAGTCTTACAATCCACCCCTGGAGTCCTTGTTTCTCCTCTCCAATTGTCCCTCACTTCTATGCCCTGGCCTAGGCACAAGCCATTTCTCTCACTGGGCCTTATTAACTTTTTTAGGAACGGATTACAACCACACTTGTCAAAGTCCCCAAAGCCCCCAGGAATGCTCCCAACTGGCCTCTCCTCTGCCCAATCTCTTTTCAGGATTTACAAGCTCTGATTTCTTCCTGCTTTTTTCATGGGTGACTACCCAAGCCCTCCAGGCCTGAGATGTATCAACTCAAGGTCAACTCAAGTCCTTCCTTCCTAAAATACCCCTGAGGCTCTCTTTCCAAAGCTCCTCTGGTTGCCCACTCCTCCCAGAGGACAAAGTAGGAGGCAAAGGCAGATGAAGGGGGCAAAGGGTCCCCTGGAGGGTTTCTGCCTCAGTGAAGAGTCTGAGAGAGATGTCAGCTCCGGAGGCCCCATGGCCCTGTGGAGTTCTCCTTGGGCCAACACATTTGAGAACTGATAACAGTTACAGACTTCCAGGCCAACATACAGGCTTGAATAGATTTTGATGCCAAGGGAAATTTAGAAGCATAGGTTTAACACAGTTTAAACTATTTTTCAATTTTGGAGAGGAAGTACTTAGATTTGCACTTTCTTGCATACCATGTTTTCCTTTCAAGTATGTAGCACAATAACATTTTTCAACCGTTTTAAATTTTAGACTAGAAATCACGATGTTTATTTTTCTTCTAAAATAGCAGTTTTTAAACTTTGTAAGTCAGCAGAACCTTGTTCTCAAACAAAATCTTAGCAGATTTCCTTTTTATAAAATAAATAAATGTTGAGTTGCTGGGAAAGAGAGAGAGGGCAGCCCCTGAGGCTTTTCTGCAGCACCTAAAGGTTGTAGTGAACATATTTTTTAAACCACTACTTGAGAATATAACCATCTTTCATAGAATCTAAAACGACAGCTATTGTAAGACATGCCATGTAGTACAAAGAAAGAAAAATACCTTGCTACTTAAATACGCATGCCACTGATTGATCATAACACACAGCCAATTTTAAAGATGTTAAAACATGGTCAGTGTGTAGCTGGAATTGATTATTTACAGTAGTGTAAATAAATGTACACATAAGTCATATTCATTTAGTCACCCAGTCAATCTGAAATTAAATTTAAGTGAAGTGGCAACAATAGCTTCACGTAAATGCTAACTTCCATTTACTGTGCACTACTAAGTGCTGTGCACCAGACAAATGCCAACTGGAGGGGTCTCCTGGGCACTTCTGGCTTGTCTTCTACATCATAGTGTTTCCATTTATTGAGCTCTTGCCAAGCCCAGTGCTGAGCGCTATACATGCATTATCTCATTTAATCCTGATAAGAATCCTCCAAATCAGGTATTATTCTGCTATTTTATAGAGGTAGAAATTGAAGCTCAGGGAAGTTCAGCGACTTGCCCAGAGTCACACAGTGAGTAAATGTGACAGGTCAGATATTCTGACATCAAAGCCCACGCTCATTCAACTTTCTATCATATTTGAGAAAATTCTAGAGTTGAGAGAGACTTATAGGTCACTGTTCCCCATTTAAGAATCTCCCTTCCCAGCATCCCTGACAGATGGTGATGTTTCAGTAAGGCTAGACAGGTGGAGAAGAATCTACCCAAACCGGTGATTATCAAGCCTGCCCAAACATCAAAAATAACTAGGAAGCTTTTTAAAATGCAGACTGCTGGGGTTGTCTTGTAAGGTGGGGGATTTTATCCAAAACAGGTCTGGAACACAGCCCAGGAATCTGTATCTTTAGAAAGCACACCCAGGTGATCCCGATACCTGGACAGGTTTAGAAATCATTGCTGTAATCCCATGACACCTTAGATGCAAATTATGAAAATTTGAATTACAGCCTCATCAAGGAAGCAGTGGCTTCTGCACAAAAGAATCATGCAATGTTTCTTTAGGGGTTAGAATAATTCAGTAATAAAACATGAGTCAGGAAAACACCAGTCACAGAAAACCCCACATGCACCACTGAACCCTGCCTCCTTTGGGTGGGGCTAATTCCTCTTACCAAACAATTCTCAGCCCAGACCCACACCTGGGCACTGCCAGGAAGAGAAACGTCATTGCTGGTTAAGGTGTGAGGTGTTCCCAGGCCTACCCAGAATGCAGATCTCTTAAGGGTGGTTCTACCCCATGCTTCCCCGCTCATTGTCTTCCCCAAGACCCAGAAATCGGAAGCTAAAATCTTATCCTCATTAAATCAGCACTAGAAATTTTACATGAAGAGCTATGTTTCCTGTCATTGTAGGGGAGGGGGTTGAGAGGAGAAAAAGGGGCATAGTGAGGCTGGATGAGCTCTTGGAGGCTTACTGTAGGGGACACTGAAGCATTAGATGGGGTCGGGGTGCACTGTTTTCAAAATAGCTAAAGTAAACTTCAAGGTCCGATTTAGCTATCTAATTCAGCAAATCTCAAGTCCGCTAAGTTTTCAAGGCAGGCTTGGCTCTGAAACCTGGAGAGTGGCACCATCCAATAGAACTTTCTATGATGATGGAAATGTTCTAGATCTATACTGTCCAATATGGTAGCCACTATCCACATGCAGCTATTAAGCACTTGAAATATGGCCAGTGCAATTTAGGAGAAAATATTTAATTTTATCTAATTTTAATTTCAGTTTAAGTAGCCAATGCGATTAATGGCTACCGTGTTGGACCGCAGTCCTAGAATGACTCTCCCAGCCTTGTCTTGCACTTTGTGGTCTGAGCTGCCTGTTCAACACCAGCTTTTAGGAAAACGCCAAATCCAAAACATGAGAACACAAAAGCCCCGGCAAAGAACAGAAAGGAGGCATCGGAATACGTGTGCCTCTCCCCACATGCAGTGTCAGGAGAGAAGACCATGAGGGACCCACTAAGGAAATCAGCCTCTGCCCAGTATTTTTGGCCACCTTAAGGGTAAAGCAAAAATGACTTTGGAGGTAATCCAAGCAATTTTGAAGAACCCAATGATTAAAATTCATCTCCAAACAACAAATCAAAGCCCAAATACAGCATGATTCCCTCTTAACTTTTCTCTGTGCCATGCATGACAGTAACTTAACTTTCTTTGCCTTCTTGTTCCTCTTCCTCCAATCAGTCTCTTCTTATTGTACGCATGCCTCATTAACCCCTCGTTGACTAGCCAGGCTTACTTGTATTCAAAGCCCAAGGAATTACACAACTTAGCCAATTTCGTCAACCGGTCGTTTGAGTGAGAACTCTGGATGGAAGCGGTCATTGGGCTGAACTGATAAACCAGCCAGAGCTCTGTGCCGATGGGATGGAAGGGACCTCTCAGTTTCTCTTTGGTACATGTACATATCCTTTGATTAGGATAGTGTTGCCCTCATATAAGTGTCAGAGAAAGCGCCTCTTAAATAGGCAAAATACAAAATCCACTAAGAAATGAAGAAAACTGTAATTGAGAACACTAGGGGTCCCTTTTCAATCCATTCAACAAGTATGTCCCGAGGGCCGCCCATGCGTTAAGCACTGCGTTAGGTAACCACAGTAGCATAGGCAATGCAATATCTTTCTTCCACAGGACTTCAAGTAGCAAAAAGGTAGCAAACATCTGTTTATTGAGTTCCCACCTCATAAGAGGTATCCACATCTTCATAGCACTACTGGAAGGTAAATCTTACCATCCTCCTTTTATAGGAGTGGAAGTTCCAATTTGTCCCAACTCTCCTCGGTCTGTGTGTTTGTTTTGCTTTTCTTCCCTGCCCTCTTGTGCATTCTCTTCCTCTATCTCTTGAAGGACTTCAAACATTATTTTTTTTAAGGCTATTCCCTTATCACAAGAAGGTAAGGGTGCCCAGGAGACCTGGTGAGTCAGAGCCCCATTCCTAGGGATCTAAGGCAGGAAGGAGGAATCACCGCTGCCCCAACCCAAGAAGAGTGTGGCCTCCTACAGGGAATATCATAGTTAAGCAAACAGCATTTCAGAGAAAACTTACCGGCCACCACACCATACTTCGTCCTGCCAGGAAGAAGCCTCCAACGGTCCCACGATTAGTGGAAAACATAGCCTGAGGAGGAAAGGGGCAAAAGTTTAATAGAAAACTAGGGCAGAATGACCTTGCCAGCCAGAAGGACACACTTCCCCACATACTCGCACTTTCTTCTTCCCACTGCACGTGCCGAAGCACTTCCACATTCCTCACTGCCCTGGAGCTCCAGTGTGCTCAGATGGAGCGGGCAGGGACCGACATACGACAGACAAGGAGACTGAGGCTCACAAGGTTTAAATGCTAACTCTGCAGTGAACTTACGGTGTGGCTTCAAGCACGTCACTCCACCTGGATCTGTCTGTAAGGGGAAATGTAAACGTTTACAGCTTTTTTATCAGCATATCCAAAGTGCCTGATGAAACATCACAGTTTTTCTGCTCAGTATGTGTAGTATATCTCAAAAATGCTGAAGAAAAGGAAGGAAGGGAGAGGGAGGGAGAGGGAGGGAGGGAGGGAAGGAGGGGCTATAGGAATGCCCAGCATTCATACTAAATATTACATAAAAGACTGAACATTCAAACTCAATTCAAAACTATCTTCTTTGGGGATGTAGGTAGGAGCTTGCTAGAAACATTACTTTTCAGTATATTGTGAATACTGCGGAAGAATTATTATGAATACAGAGGGAGGAGGAGATTCCTTCTCACTGGGGTGTCAGGAAAGGACTCACAGAGAGGAAAGGATTTCAGCAAGTCTTGAAGAAAGAGAGGTATTTATTAGTCAGAGAAAAGAAGGAAAAGACATTTCAGACTTCAGCAACAGCATGATGACAACCCAGAGGAAGAGCCGCACCACTGTAGAAAGGAGGGAAAGGTGGATAATGTGGTCTGATAGACCTGGTTAAGGTGTATGGATGCAGAGAGTGGGGAGAAGTAAGGACAGACCTGAGGCCCTCAGGCCCTCAAATGCCAGGCTAGGAAGTATAGGATTTATTCCATAGGCAGTAGGAAGCCACTGAAGGTTGATGAGAGAAGAATGACATGCACTTTCAATACATGATCACCAAGCCCCTCTCACAGATCCTTGGAATGTTGCCTCTGAACCTTCAGTTTATTCCTAATCCAGCTCAGGCCCAGTCCAGTTCTCCAGCACAAAAGGGGGACAACTGTTTCTGTCCCGACCTCCTTTCCACTTGCTCTCTCTGTGTCAATGGCCTTCCCTTCAATGAACCATGCAAATCTCCCTGAAAATGCCAATGGACAATAATGACTTAGCACTGTCAGAGGTGTTTATGTTTTCATAGGTGACTTCAGAGGCTGAAGAGTAACATTGGTCCAAAGGATTCCATCTCTGATGGTGACATTTCATGCACTTAGAAACCCACCATTCATTCAGCAAACACGTCCGCTACAGACAGCACATTGCTGTGTGCTCAGTCTGCAGACATGTACTGGACTGAGTCCTTTAGGGAGCAGGAGCATTCATGCATCTGTGCAATCAATGTAGATTTGGTGCAGACCTCTCTGTGGTAGGCAGTGCCAAAGACAGCATGGCTAGATCTTTCTGGATTCCTGGCAGGGTCCTCCCTCCCACAGGACATACTCTTGGGGCCTCTATTATGGTTTTTCTGAAAAGAGCGAAGGAACCAACAGACCCAAGGAGCAGAGAAGGTGGCTAGGGCTGTAACAGAAATAAGCCCCAAGAACTCGAGTGCCAGCAGCTAGCCAGGGAAAGACCATTCTGAATATCATCCTGCAGTCAAAGAAAGTTGATACCCCCCAGGCAGGGCTGGAGGGACAAGAAGAGTGGCATTGGAACCCACACGCAACATTTCCAAGCTGGTCTTAGACATGAAGACCTTAGAGGAAGAATATGAGGCCAGAGGCTAGAGTGGAGAGCTGGAATAATTCAGGAACTGTGTTGGGGATGGATAAAAGGTGAGGAGAGGTGTACCTTTACCCAGCTTTTTCTCCTCTGGAATATTCATCCCCTCATTTCCAAAAGCCCAGGCCCTGCATACCCATCCTTCAAGGACCCTCCAAATGCCACCTTCTCCATGAAGCCTCACCTGACACACGAAGGCTCCCACACAGAAGCCTTCTCCTCCCTTCCCTGAACAAAAAGAATCTCTCTCTCTCTCCTGGGAACACCTACACAACTCCATCTATACTTCATGCACGCCTCTTATAATCTTTTTTACTTTATATTATATTACAAATTTTCTTCCCAGCTTTATCGAGGCATCTTAACAAATAAAAATTGTATATAGTTGAGGTGTACAATGTGATGTTTTGCTATACATGTTCATTGCCAGAAGCTGGGAAGTGGGGGAAATGTAGAGATCTTGGCCAAAGGCACGAAGTTTCAGTTATAAGATGATTCCATTCCGGAGATCTGATGTACAGCATGGTGACTCGAGTGTATAATGCTGCATGGGATAGTTAAATTGGCCAAGGGAGTAAATCTCAAGTGTTCTCTCCACACCAAAAAAATTATTGTAACCATGTGAGGTGACAGATGTGTTAATTAGCTTGATTACGGAAACCATTTTACAAATATTCAGTCCCCCATAATGCTTAATATAATGCCAAGTGCATGGTGCACATCAGTAAAAAATTATGATTCTCAGTTTCCTCAGGCTCCATTCTTCCCCCTTCTCCCACCCTTAACACTCTTTGTGGAAATGAGCAGCATCCCCTCCCCAGCCCCAGCCCCAGCCCAGGCAGGCATTCTGCAAACAGTCCGTCAGCAGCATTCCGTAGGTGCTTCCTGGGGCATGCAGGGCAGCTCACAAACCCTGACTCCTTTCTCCCCACCGTTCATTCCCTACAAACAAAAACACACTATCTCCACGAGCACAGGATGCTCAAAGGAAAACTCTAAGATTCCAGACCTCACTTTGTAACTGATGGCATTAAATCTGCCTGTATACCCTGCAACTAGAAGAGAGTGATTTCACTACAGCAAGGAGCAGGAGCCAAAGAAGCACAATTATGAACCCACATGTTTGTTTGTTTGTTTTTTCTCAATGGAATAAAAATATCATTGAGCAAAAGGAAGGCTCTTCAGACCTTTGAAGCTAAGAAACTGGGGATGCTGGGCCTGGAGAAGAGAAGACTAAGATGTGGCATATAGTCTTCTGATACATAAAGTGTGACAGACTCACTCAGTGCGGCCAACATAAGGCACAGCCGGACACAATGGGAAAAACTCTAAGACATCAGATCTGAGCTCAGAACACAAAAGAATTTCCCCACTGTCCGAGATGTCCAGAGATGGGAATGGGGCCACTGGGAGGAATTCTTGCTGCAAGTACTCTAATGAAGTGTTGACAACTTGTCAAGATGATCTTGTCAAGTGGCTTAAAGAAGAGACTCAAGCATAGGCTGAAGAGAAAACTGTAGGCCCTCACTTTATGAAAATATGTGAGGAAAGAAGGAATTCAGCACCCCCAGGACACTGCCACAGCAATGTAAGTGGTGGTAAGGACCCTGGAGAGGATATTCCCAGGAAAAAAAAATAGTGTCTTAGGAAGGGGGAAACATGAGATTATGCAAAGAGCATGCCTTTGGAATATTAAGACCTGACTTCTAGTCCCAGCCCTGATGCTGATTCATCTGAGTGACTTCTGGTCACTCTCTCTGACCTCATCTGAAAATGGAAATGTTAGGCTCCCCAGTGGCCACTGCTACTCAGGCATCCAAAGATCCTCTTAGTGCAAATGATCACATAAGGACTTCACCTTCTCACACAACCATCAGAAGGATCACAACTAACCTCAAAACAAAAAGCAACAAGAACTGCCAGGAAATTGAACTGCATGGATGTCTAACAATCAAGGATTTAAAGAAGAAATATTTATCCGGGTGGGTAGGAGGGGTGGAGACAGGGAGTGGGGGCAGAGAGGATGCAGCGTGGTAGCGGCAAGGCAGCCAGCAAAACAGGCAGTCCCACATTCACATGTGGCAGATAAAAAATGGAGGGACACCTGGAGAGCAAGCAATTCCAGCCCCGGGCCAGACTGTGCAGCCCAGGGTTCCAGAACCAGGAAATAAAGCCTCATAACTTCTGGCTGTAAAAACCAGTGGGGGTGGGGGACAGAAGAAACTGCCCACTTCTCAAGAAAGTCTACTTAAAGGACCTGCATGGTCCTAGAATGTCTGCAAACCCACCCGCTCTGGGATTCAGCACCAGGGCAGGAGCTAGAAGGGTGCCAGTTGCACATGGGAAGAGGGGGAAATGGGGCAAAAGCCAAGAAGGTGACATTGTTCCCTCTCTAACCACAAAGTGACCATACAGTGTCACAAAGCAGTGAAGCAGGCTGCCCCACCCTGGCGAATACCTAAGGCTCCGCCTCTTACAACATAACAGGTGCAACAAGACAGGGAGTCAAAGCAGCCCTACCTAATACACAGAAACAAATGCAAGGAAGTTGTCAAATTAAGGAGACAAAGAAATATGACCCAAATGAAAGAACAGATCAAAACTCCATAAAAAGCCCTGGCTGGGATGGCTCAGTGGATTGAGTACCAGCCTGTGAACCAAAGGGCCTCTGGTTGGATTCCCAGTCCCAGGTGTGGGCCTGGTTCCCAGTAAAGGGCATGTGAAAGGCAGCCACACATTGATATTTCTCTCCCTCTCTTACTCTCTCTCTCTTCTCCTCTGTCTAAAAATAAATAAATAAATAATCTTTAAACACACACACACAGAACTCCAGAAAAAGAACTAAGTGAAATGGAGATAGCCAACATATCAAATGCAGAGTTCAAAACACTGGTGATAAGGATACTCAGGGAACTCTATGAATACAGCAAAAGCATAAGGGAAGAAATAAAGGCAACACTAAGTGAAATAAAGAAAAATCCGCCACAGGGAACCAACAGTGAAGGGAAGGAAGCCAGCATACAGTTCAAAGAGATGGAACTTAAGGAAGAAATAAACAGTCAACCAGCACAGAAACAAGAATTTAAAAAAACAAGGAGAGACTAGGTAGACTCTGGGGCATATCCAAATGTGCCAACATCCAAATCAGAGGGATACCAGAAGGAGAAGAGAACGAGAAAGAAATTTAACACTTATTTGAAACAATAATGAAAGAAAATGTCCTTAATTTGGTGAAGGAAATAGACATACAAGTCCAGGAAGCACAGAGAGCCCCAGACAAGTTGGACCCAAAGAGGACCACACCCAGACACACGATAATTAAAGTAGCAAAGGTTAAAGATAGAGGATCTTAAAAGCAGCAAGAGACAAGGAGACAATGACCTACAAAGGAATGCCCATAAACCCATAAGACTATGAGCTGATTTCTCAAAAGAACCTTTGCAGGCAAGAAGGAACTGGCAAAAAGTTATTCAAAGTGATGAAAAACAAGGACCTACAACCAAACTTACCCTATCCAGCAAAGCTAACATTTAGAATTGAAAAACAGATAAAATGCTTCCCAGGCAATGTAAAGCTAAGGGAGTTCATCATCACCAAGCCCTTATTATATGAAATGTTAAAGAGACTTATTTAAGAAAAGAAGATCAAAACTATGAACAATAAAATGACAACAAACTCACAACTATCAACAACTGAATCTTAAAAATCTAAGCAAACAACTAGAACAGGAACAGTGTCATAGAAATGGAGATCACATAGAAAGTTACCAACAGGGAGGGAGAAGGAGGAGAATGGTTGGGGGGAACTATAGGGATTAAGAAGCAAAACAGACAGGGGGAATGTTAAGAATAGTATAAGAAATGGAGAAGCCGAAGAATTTATGTGTACAACCTGTGGATGTGAATTAAGGGGGTCATTGCTAGAGGGAAGAGGGGTACCAGGCAGAGGGAGCAAAGGGAGAAAGTTGGGAAAACTGTGATAGCATAATCAATAAAATATATTTTTTAATAAATAAATAAAATAGCTAGGCCCTAAAAAAAAAAATGATCACATATGGCACGGGCCAGTAAATGTTTTCTGTTAATAAAAAGATCCAGATAGTAAATATGTTTTGTGGGATACATATGACCTCCACCACATCTTCTTCTTCTTTTGTCCTGTTTTTTACAGCCTCTTGAAAGTGTCAAAACCATTCTTAACTGTGGGCCACACAAAAAAGACCGTGAGCCAGATTTGGCCAGTGAGTCATAGTTAACAACCCTTGGCATAAAGGGTTCAAGGATAGTTTAATGAAATGTTACAAAAAGAATAAAGTAGGGGAATCAGCCTAAAAGGATACAAAATCACCCAAAAAACAAACTGAGGGGTAATGAAAGAAAAATGGAAACACACAATTAACCCTTGAGCAGCATGGTGGTTAGGGGTACCAACCCCCATGAAATTAAAAATCCATGTATAACTCTTAACTCCTCAAACACTTAACTACAGTCGCCCGTCAATATATATGAGAGATTAGCCCCCGGAGACCTGTGGATACCAAATCCACAGATGCTTGAGTCCCTTATACACAATGGCACAGAACAATGCCCCTGTGTCTGCGAATTCCCAACCATGGGTTGAAAATAGTTCTCTATCCATGGTCAGCTGAATCCACAGACATGAAACCCCAGGATACAGAAGGTCAACCAAGTATTTATTGAAAAAAATCTGCATATAAGTGGGCCCACAGAGTTCAAACCCATGTTGTTCAAGGGTCAACTGTACACTGAAGAATATGCTCAAGTCCCAGTATGATTGGATGAAGTAATGTTGGAAGAGGATAAAACAGAACAACATAATGTTAGAAGAGATGGGGATGGTGACAAAGAGACATTAGCTGTGTCTTTTCACGGTGGTGCTGGCTCACTCTTTCTTTGCAGCCCAGAGATCATCCAGGAGTCAGGATGCTTGTCCCTGAACCAAGCCACTCTTGACACTCCAAGCGAAAAAAGAAGAATGTAAACTGGAAGAAAATCAGCACATTAAATGCTCAGGGTCCAATGGGGGAAGATTAAAGGTGGACAAATTCTAGCAGGCTCATTAAATAGCACTTAACAGGACAAGTGATTCTGATTCGCAGATATTTGAAAAGAGTAAACACCATAATCATCAGGACTCACGGGGCTAAATAAAATAAAATGAGATTGCTTAAGGGAATGGAGATTATCGACGATTGCCTGCGAAACAGGCAAGACAACACAACGAGCAAATGATGGATTCGTGTCTTGGCTCCAGGACTTACAAGCTGTGGAGGGGCGGAAGGAGGGAGGCAGGCAAGAGAGCAAAGTACCTGGTGCCCTGGAAGAGAGACTTGAATTCCAGGAATAATTCCATGCATTGCAACCTCAGACAAATCACATCCACATGGGGCTTCAATTTCCTCTTTTGTAAAATGGGGACTAATATTCTCTCTGTCATGATTTTTGGGTCAGGATGTCCTACCCAGCTGATCACTTTTGTCCATTTTACTTAAAAGAACAAAAAATAATTCAGGGCCTGGACCACACCCTCAAGGGCGAATAATCATAGCAGTGTTAAAGATTCCTAGCGTTCATAATGAGCTTTCCGGCTCGGCTCCGCAGGCCCTCACAACAACCTGGGCGAGTCGCAGGGTAAGCAACACTGTGTCCATTCTACACTTGAGTAAACTGAGGCTGAGGCAGGTTATCCTAGGTCATGTGTCTGAAACCATGGCAAAGCCGTTACTAAACTTGAGAACCCTAGCTCCTAGTTGGATGCTCCTGGGAAGCTGAGGGTTCAGAAGAGTCAGCCACGCCAACCCCCTCTGACACTTGGAGAGGCTTTTAGTTACATCTGGTTTCTACAATTACTTTCAACACACACACACACACACACACACACACACACTTCATCCTATCCCTAAAAAAACTCTGTGGCCATGGAAGGGTTAATGTCCACCCTCCTCTCCTCCCTCATCCTGCCACCTTCCTTGAAAGCCATCCAGAGTGGCCAGAACTGTTGCAAATTTAAAACACGTCCTCTTCTGGCTGCTGGGTGTGCCAAGCTGTCACAGGTGAAATTTCCATGTTTCAGGCTGCTGAGAACAAGTTTCTCTGGTTTTGGTGTGTCCCCAGAGTCCCAAAGGGAAGCCACACACATTTCCCTCTTCCCAGTGACGCACCACCCTCCGGTCGTCCTCCGAGTCGTCTTCAACGCAGCTTTCCCAACTCTCACTCACTCCAGCCCCGGGATCCCACGGCACAGCCCGTCCAGCCAGCCTCTCCCCGGAGCGGGGCGCGGAGAGCCCCTCCCTTGGGCTGCCCGACAGCACCTGCAGCTGCCAGAGGCTTGCGACCCTCCCCAGCCACGCTGCTTCTTTTCCATCCAGAACGGGACGACCACGAGGCAGGACGGTGGTGACCTCCTCCCAAGCCTGGGAGCTCCCCCTGCAGCTACAGGCTGGCCCTCTCCTGCCGCTCACACGCTGCCCTCCACGCCCCACCCTCCCCCTCTGCTCACAGGTCCCAGGTGTCCATCGTCCGCGGTGGCCAGCGCCCGTCTCGCTTCTGCTCATCCTCTCTTGCCTCCTCGCACCGCGGTCCCTGACTTCCTCTTAAGCGCTTCCAAGTCTTTCCCATTTCACTCCACACTCCTTTAAGGCCATTCTCCCGTCCCTCCTCGCAGTTCATCCAGGCCCTTTCTCCTCCGTGTGCCCCCTCCTTGTCCCTCCCGGTGACCCTCGCTCCCTCCGCGAGTGCTCCAGGGCCCCCACATACCCACAGCCCGACAGCCATCACCACCACGAAATACACGACGATGACAGAGATGTCGGCCGCATTTCGGATGCGCTCGTGGGGAGCCAGGGGCGCAGCAGTCGTGGCAGTCGTGGGGCTCCAGGTGCTACTGTCCATGGCGGCAGCGATGAGGTGTCCCTCCCGCCGAGGCCACTCGCTCCTTACAAGGGCTTTGGGTTAATGATCAGCCTCGGAGGAGGGCACCCGCGGAGTGGCGGTAGCCGGGCGGTGGCGCGGGACCCCTGCGCTGCGCCGTCGGGGAGCAGCTTTGGACGCAAAGCACGGAATGAGCAGCGCGCTGAACTGCCAGCCGGGCGGCTGCCCGCCAGCAGATAAGACTCACCTGCCAGCGGGGAGGGGCCAGCCAGGGGGTGGTGCCCGCGTGGCACAAAGGCCCGCTGTGCTCCTGCAACGGGCACCGGATGGATCTCCCAAACTGCCGCTGGGCCACTCCCGAGCAGAGAGCGGGAGCGGCTCCATTGAGGAACCAAGCTACCTAGGGCCGAGCGCCTTCAGGCTTTAAGTCACCTGTCACCTTCCCTTGGACCAGTCCCAAACCATCTGTGGACCTTGCTTCCCTACATATGAAGTGGGTGCAGGACTGACTGTTGCCAGGATTCAGCCAAGTTCTTGGTCTCCATGGAGAACATTCTGGAGAGGACAGAAAGTTGTTGGATGTTGCTGGTAAAAGTTCAGCACAATTGCAATCTCTTGGCGGCTGGCTGGCCACCCGATCACCTGCATTTCTGGCTCCTGCCCTCCACAGCCTGCAGCCTTTAGGGGCACTGTTACCCACCAAATGGAGGAAGAAACTGAGACTAGGAAAGATAATCCTACTGAGAGCTCTTTTCTTGCCCTGCACTTCACCCAACAATGTGACCCGGGGCCCTGGCAGGCAAGCAGGAGGAAAGATATGAGAATCCTTGCCAGGGAGTTCATCAAACCCTGATCCTTCCTGGGAGCTCAGCCCCTCTGGAAACACATAGTCAGAGTTCAGAACAGAGACAGCTGAGAGAGGTGGCGTGACTCACCCAAGGTCACACAGTGAGCCAGTGATAAATGGGGCTCTGCAGTCCAGGCCAGGGCAGGCCTAGTTCAGAGGACAGTTGGGAGATGCTCTTGGGCGCTCATGCTGGAGGCCACAGAGCAGCCACTTTAGGAGAGAGGGAGGGAGCCTTAGTTGGGTTGAGGTCCAGGAAGGGGAAAGACCACACAAACCCTGCCAGGGTGCTGTTCTGCCTCGGGTTCTCCCTGCACACCACCAGTGCCGGCAGCCTGTTCCTTTGCATCCTGCTGCCTCTGAGGTCCCCTCCCCTGCTCCCTCATCAGAGCTTGATCTTCCCACTGAGGCTGCAGTCTGCCCTGTTTTCCCCCAGCCGCCTCCAACACTGTAAATATATCAGGCAATGTCCAGGGGCCATCCTAATTCCTGGCCACAGGGAGCAAGGGTTTTCCTTCCGTGGAAGCGGGCAGCAGGGGCTCCTCTCCGTGGATGCCTCCCAGGCTCCTCCACCATGGGTGCCTCCGCAGCGAGGGGCAACCGCCTTCCGTCATGCCCATGCGTGCCAGCCTGCAGCTGGGCTCTGTCCCCTGGCTCTGTGCCAAGCAGAGCGGAGCCCCTGCTTTCAGGGAAGTCCTGGAATCTCTGGGAGTCGGATCCACAGGAAAAATCGAGCCCTCTCCCTCCAGCTGCAGGCAGCCAGCCCTGCCAAGTTCAGGAGTGAAGTCTATGGAAATGAGCAAATCCACCAAGTAAGGAGGAGTGAGGACTGGAAGTGCTGATGATCTCAAAGGAGGGACATCCTTTGCTCTTTCTAGGACAGCAGAGCATGGATGGCCAGAGGGGGAGAGGGAGGGCAGCCAGGGGAAACCAGAAAGTGCAGCCATTCATTCATTCACTCTTGCAACAAAAGAGCAGCTTGGACACGTGTGCCAACCCTGGGGCTGCAGCGGTGAACGAGACCCCAGCGTTCTTTCCCTCACAGGGCTTCCAGCCCAGAGGAGGAGACAGACCATCACCAAAGATGAGACACATACCTAGAACATAGCGTTATGATATGTGCCCCAAATGTCTAGCAAGGATTTTAACCTGGGCATGAGTGAGGTTGCGGGAAGACCTGGGAAAGCTCTGGTTTGAGCAGGGCCCTGAAAGAGAAGGAGCAAGCCAGGTGAGGCGGGAGCGAGGGGTGTACCGGGAAAGGGCAAGCTGGGGGAGGGGGGGTGTTGTCCACACAGGGAGGGGCCAGTGCGGTGGAAAATAAAAAATGAAAGCATATCATCAGCGAGTAACTTCCCTCTACGGTCCTCCCCAGGTTGTGTGAGGCCCTTTTGCAATTTCTCTTCCTCAGTAAAGTTTTCTCGAGTTTAAATTGTCCTTTTAGAAGAGACCTCGTCACTGAAGAGCTCTTCAGTGATGAGGTCTCTTCTAAAAGGACAATTTAAACTCGAGAAAACAGTGAGGCGGTCCCTCAAAAAGTTAACTCTAGAACTACCATCGCATCCAGCAATCCCACTACTGGAGACATATCCAAAGGAAATGAAGTGGGCATCTCCAAGAGATAGCAGCGCTCCCATGTTCATTACAGTGTTATTCACAATAGTCAAGATATAGAAAGAATTTAAGTGTCCATCAACAGATGAATGAAGAAAATGTTATATATATATAATAGGATATCATTCATTCATAAAAGAGAAGGAAATCCTGCCATTTTTGACACCACGGATGAACCTGTAGGGCATTATGCTAAATGAAATTAGCCAGGCACAGAGTAGCCTCTGCTCTTTCTCTTCCCAAAAGCGACCAGAGATCACTTCTGAAGATGGTTCGCTATTGATGTGACCCAGAAAACCCCACAAAATCATGCAAATCACGAGGTTCAAATCTTCGGGTTCACTTCAAGAACGCCCGTGAGACTGCCCAGTCCATCAAGGGTATGCATATTCAAAGAGCCACCAAGTATCTGAAAGATGTCACTTTAAAGAAGCAATGTGTCCCATTCCGTCGATATAATGGTAGAGCTGGTAAGTGCGCCCAGGCCAAACAGTGGGGCTGGACACAGGGTCGGTGGCCCAAAAGGAGTGCTGAGTTTTTGCTGCACATGCTTAAAAATGCAGAAAGTAATGCTGAACTTAAGGATTTAGATGTAGATTCTCTGGTCATTGAGCACATCCAGGTGAACAAAGCTCCCAAGATGCGACGGAGAACTTACAGAGCTCATGGGCGGATCAACCCACCCATGAGCTCTCCCTGCCACATCGAGATGATCCTCACTGAAAAAGAACAGATTGTTCCTAAACGAGAAGAGGAAGTTGCACAGAAGAAAAAGGTATCCCGGAAGAAACCGAAGAAACAAAAGCTTATGGCTCAGGAGGAAATTCAGCATAAAATAAATAAAATAAATACTAGTAAAAGTAAAAGAAAAGAGAAAGAAATTAGCCAGGCACAGAACAAGAAATGCTGTATGATGTTCAATCTTAAAAAGTCACTCAAAAACCACAGATTAGAATGGTGGTTACCAGAGGCTGAGGGTGAACAAAGTGAGTTGTTGATCAAGGGCACAAACTGCCAGTTATGAATAAGTTCTGGGAATCTAAGGTACAGTATGGTGATTATAATTAACAATACCAGTGTGTATACTTGAATATTGCTAAGACGGTAGCTCTTAAATGCTTTCACCAAAAAGAAAAACACACAAAGTGGTAACTATGTGAGGTGATGGATGTGTGTTAACTTGATTATGGTAACCACGTCACACTCTATGCATATATTAAATCATCACATTGTACATCTTTTTAAAAATCATGTGTACAACCTAATTTTTTTTTTCAAACAACTACCTCCCCTGAACAGATGCTTCCAGGGGCACATGGTATGATGCACCACCTGCCCCCAACAACTGGCCAGAGCTGCCACGTCGCTCACTGCTCATGGATAAGGGTCCTGTTGACCCATCTCCTGCCCTGACTGGTGCCAAACAAAACCAGGGTCTGTTCACTAAAGGGGACCTTACCATGAGAACCCCAGAATAAGAAGAAAGTTTGCCAACAACCAGGCCATGAGAGAAGATGAGATGATGACAAAAGAGACAGATGTGAGAGCAAGAAACAGACCCCAGATGAGCCCACACAGGTTCACAGCCTATGGTCAGGACAGAGGCTCAAGTTTGAAAAGCCAGGTGCCCACAGACTCCCAGCCATTAAACCTGACTGTGGGGAGAAAAAGAAATATTCAAATGACTTTGAGGTCCTTAAGCTAATATCTACCAGTGGCAGGGAGGTGCCTAGGATTTGGAGGGGAATGACTTATCACTCAGTGGAAATCTTCCTGTCTAATCGTCTCTGCCCGCCCCACTACACTACTCATCTGTCTAGGCCCTACAAGAGTCCCACCTGCTCCTGCCAGACTGGGAGCTCCCCCAACCAGCAGGCCCCAAATGTACAGCGCCCACCTCTCACTGGCCAAACTGTGCCCTTTACAAACTGTGCTCTTATTAGCTAGGTGACCTCGAAACAATTTGCCTAACTTTGGGGGCCTCGGTGTCCCCACTTACAAATTGAGGATAGCAATATTGAACATAAACGAGAGAACACAGGGGACACATTTCAGTGCACTGCCAAGCACGCATTTGGTGCTCCATGAAATGTTAACTTTTATCTTCACCATCATCACCTTACCTAGACCACAAGATATGGAGCCCCAAGCTGGGGCCCTGCCCTCCCAGAGCAGAAGGCAGATACAAAAAAGAAAACATAGACTGTGTGTTGGACAAGTGGTACGACCTTAGTCTTCACGATGACCCTACCCTTATCCCCATTTTACAGATGAGAGCCTTGAGACTCACAGGAGTTATGTAACTTGCCAAGGTGGTAAAAGGCCAAGCTGGCGCTCAACCCCACGTAGGTCTAATACCAAAGCCTATAGTTTAACCCTGGTGCAGAGAGCAGGGAGAGAATGGGACAAAGCAAAGGTAAGTGAAGGCTTCGCCTTGATTCCAAGCCTACTCTCCAGCCAGCCTCCCTCTATTCCTCCCTGCCCCTCACCCCAGCTTGACACTGGGCTGCCTGGAGGTGTGAGGCATTTCAGTGAGTCATTAATCATAACAGAAGCAGGCAAAAGTCAGAAGCTTTACAGGTGCTGTGTTCTGCCAGTGCCCAGGTTTTCTGAAGACCCAGAGTCCAGCATGGGAGCAGGTGGATGGAGTAAGAAGGGTTAGCTGTTGCTCAGGTCCTGAAGAAG